TATCAACCACACATAATAATTTCATAAAATAAACAACACAAACATGCATAAAAATAAATGTGAATAACATAACCAACTAATGACATTTTTTGTGAGCCAACACAAAAAAATGTCAAGTCCATTCCTAAAGGGACATATTAACGGACCAAAAAAATCTTCTTGTAATATTGTTGTAGAAGCTCCCACTTGAGAAAACACTCATTGCTTGCAAAAGATTGAAAAAACTTCTTTAAAGCAATATTTCAACAATATGCAACACTTTTCAGAAAATGTTGCAGAAAAGGTTGCATTAGGTCCAACAGCTCCAAGGGAAGCTGTCAACAACAACCCCTTTTGCAACAAATTGCTGTAAAGGTTGCCTTTGTCCGTGCACATCTCAAACCCTCGAAAATTGCCTTTTTGTCATCAAAAGATGGCTTCAACTTCATTTCTTGTTACATTTTTGTGCAAATAAATTATTTCTAACAAATAATCGATTATTTACAAAAATAAACCAAGAAAACCAACCTATTTAATTTATTACATACCATATGAATAAATAAATTATTACAACCATTTTTATAACAAAAACGACAACACAACAAACACAATGGTCTTTGGCTAGTTTATGCACATCATACATATCAACATACACATGAAACAACCTTTTTTTTCTAAGACAACTTTAAATGACAAAAGATGCATAAAACTTTTGTCACATAAAAATAATAACAATTATAAAGTTGTCATAGAAAATATGTATGAACTTGTTTTTATACAAAACCAAGTTGTCCATATTCTCTAAAAAATAAGATTGCCAAAAATCAAAAAATCTAACCAAACTTGCAAGGTGGCTCTTGATACCAATTGTTGGGTTTTTATTCAAAAATTAGTTTCAAAAACATAAGATTTAGCAATGGAAGACTTTAAAATTAGAATAAATATAAAACAAGTTTATACCCACCAAGGACCCTCTTGCAAGTTGTAGAAATATTTAAACACAACCAAAGAAGAAGATGAAAAAATAACAACCTTTGGAGTTCTTTGGATCCTATTAGGAGGCTTGGAAGTTGATGAATAATGATGAATTTTAGAGACACCAACAATAGTTCAACCTGATGTAGATGCTAGTCTAAAACTCTTAACTCTTAAGCTTGAAGTTCATAACCGAAGTATAAACTTCAAGAGAGTAAAAATACAAGTACCTTGAACTCTTGATCTTCAAAAGCAAGAGAGAATGAGAGAGATAGAGAGGATTTCGAAATTATGCTTACTAAAATGAAAAATTTCTCACTTTATAAAGCTGATCCTTTATCCTTAGGTCCTTAGCACTTTCAACATATCATGTCCTCTAAAGTCTAAGTGTTCCCCCATGTTTTTAGACATGTCTTACTTTCCATTTGTTTAATCAAAATCCCATAACTTGTCTAGCATACATGAAGTCATTGGTTTGACTAATAAAAGAAATAGAAAGTTTGTGATTTTATAAACTATTTTATAAAATATAAATCTTAACTTTTTGGTAAAAGACAAAAAAATTCTTTATAGTCCAAAATGTTGTACATGACTTAATAAATCATACCATATGATATATATTATGTTACTTTCTAATGAAAATTAATATTTTCATGAAATAAATAATTTCCAATTAATTATAAGAGTTTATTAAATATTTAATAAAATCAATTACTAATAAATAGTCAATTGTATCAAGTTGTTGTTAGTGTGGCCCATTAGTATCATATGTTAATTAGCAATATCACTTTAATATGATTCTTGAGCAAACTGAGTACCAATAGAGTGGATAACTAAATTATTAATGCAAGTAATGATCTTGGAGTTTTTGGTCTCCCATGAATCCATTAAGGTTGCATAATTTGTATCCATTTCATCTGTTGGTTTGCCCTTGGTACCTGTCATAATATCCCACATATTCTTCCCTCGCAAGAAATTCTTCATAACATAACTCCAGTAGGAATAGTTCTTGCCATCGAGTTATGTACTAATTGACTGAAGAGAATCATCTTGTGTCATATTGCCAGATACAATAAACCAAAAGCAACAGACAAAAAATGAAACCAAATAGCAGCAAAGAAAAACTCCAACAATAATCATAAAAACCAACAGACAAAACGAAACCCTCGAAATCGATGAAAATGAACAAATCAAATCAAACAGAATACAGAAACGAGCAGGAAAACCATAGCCAAAATTGTAAAAAATTTCTAAGGATCAGATGTAGCTCTGATACCATGTGAACAAACAAGTAAAAGACATAGAATGGTTAGGGTTTCATATTATTATCAAATGGGAAGTACAATTACAATGAAAGGGAAGGGAAGGACATAATTTATAGACTAGCTAATTAAGGTTTCCTAGCTAATGGGCCAACATAATATCCAATAGAAAATAAAGCCCAAAATCTTATTAGGATAACAAACTAAAATTAGAAACCGAACCACACGATTTAATAATAGTGTGGTTATAGTTAATTAGGGTGATGATAGGGTAGTGAAACTTTATATTATTGGATTGACAATTCAACCAACGATAACAACTCAAACATTCCCGAGTGAGTTGTTTGAGTTTCTTTAGAATCGGAAAAATAAAATGAAGAATTAACGTTACAGGGTCACCAGGGCTCAATTTCTTTGTCATTGAATTCAGTATCATCATAGTATGTTAAACACTTGAACTCTTCAACAAGTTTGTAGTGTGCAAGTATGTTTATATCATAACCAACATCTTCAATTTTGACTGTTAGTTTTCTAATTCATCATCATCATAAAGCAGGACCAATGTAAGCAACTTCTTTACCTTTATACATAACATTCCCCACTTGTACAAACACCCGATGAGCCAACGTTATAGGTAATGAGTTACATACTTTGTTACTCCCGACATCGGACTACGTATTGTCACCATAACAGTTTTCCCATATAAATTGATCTACACAACTTTCCACATAATGATTAATAACAAACAATTTTATTGTTTTAGGAAGCATACTTACAAAGTATATGACATTATGTCGTCAATATTCTACATAACTATGTTTAATCCGAGAAATTGAAAAGACAGACATATATGATTAGTATTTAAGTTGGATTTGGAAGCTACCTAGTTAATCAACCCACCAAAGGTGATATCATTGGTAAAATCGACATCAAAACATGTGTGATCTGAAGTAATATAATGCATAGATTGGTGTATTCGCTCTTGTAGTCCTCCACTACAAACAAGTATTCAAAAATACTTATTACATGAACCCATTCTCAATAATATAAATGTAGATTTGGAACTCTAAACAAATCTAGAATGCATAAAGAAGTAAACAAACGACTAAGAACTCAGAACTCATCATTTAGACTTTTTTTTCTCCGGTCCAGAATATTACTCTGAAACTTCGTATATTCCGGTAGGGGTGAGCATTTAGACATGTGGACCGGAATGGATCAGACCATTTTTTGAACCCCTAACCGGTTCTCGGTTCTAGGATTTGAGCAAAACCGGTTTGGTTCGGCATGTTCCGGGTAAAAACCGGTTTTGGACCGACTTATTTAAAAAAAATTGTATTCTGTGAAATTCTTTAAACAAACATATTGTTAGGATCGCTACTAGCCTAACCATGCTCAACATAGAAGAACAATGGGGGTTCCATTTTCTAAAACCAATTGGTGATAGAAGGGATTACCCATTGCCTTATATGGAAGCATCTAGTTTCTTATTTTACCAATGTGGGATTGGGTTTGCACCCCAACACATATCTCATTCGTTTTAAGTCGGATTGACATGCGGTTTTTCCAATGTGTAATTTAGAGTTTGTCGATGCTTTTAGACTATAACATTGTTGTTTTTGATGTTATATGCGATGGGTTACAATCCTTTAAAGATGAGATATCAAAACTGAAATATTTCATCTTTTCAGCAAGAAATTTAAACTTTTGTATTATGTGAAATTCTTTAAACAAGCATATCTCATTCGTTTTAGGTCAGATTGACATGCAGTTTTTTTTAACGTGTAATTTAGAGTTTGTAGATGATTTTAGACTATAATTTTGTTGTTTTGGTGTTATATTCGATGAGTTACAATCTTTCAAAGATGAGATATCAAAACTAAAATATTTTAGTTTTTCAGCAAGAAATTTAAACTTTTGTATTCTATGAAATTCTATAAACAATCATATCTTAATTGTTTTAAGTCGAATTGACATGTGGTTTTTTCCAACGTGTAATTTAGAGTTTGTAAAAGAGTTTAGACTATAATTTTGTTGTTTTTGGTGTTATATTCAATCAGTTACAATCCTTCAAACAAATGGTATACCGTATAAACAATCAAAGTTTGACCGGTCCAAAGGGCACAAGAAACGGAAACATATTCATTTTTACGAGTTGTACCGTATCAAACCCAAAAAATTATTCATTTTAGCGAATTGTAACGTATCAAACCCAACAACATATTCGTTTTAACGATTTGTATCAAACTCAAAAACGCGTTTTAACAAGTTGTACCGTATGCATGTAAAGTTGTACTGATCCAAATGGGTCCAAGAACCGGAAAACCCGGACCTGGACCCGGTAAGTTTTATCCGGTCCGGTTCACGGTCCATAATATTTTCCAAAGCCGGTCCGGTACAAATGTTCATCCCTACATTCCGGAATGCTTTTATGTTAGTATGTAATGTACGCTGCCATTCTAGAATATAATTCTTATACTTTTACTTCAAATCTAACCAACTCCGGTTGCAATTAATCTGAAATGTCTTTTCCAAACAAGATAACTAATTTTCAAATAAGAAAAAAAACGATTACCTTGTTCCCAAACTTTAATGTATAAACAAATGCTTTACTTAAAATAAAGTAGAAGTTGATTTTATAAGGGACCCACTACTGGGTGGTCTTTTCTTCCTGGTAGGTGAGAGACTACGACATTCATACTCTTTCATTAATTGTGATCAAAATCCTCCTTAGATTTTCACTCTAAAAACCCCAAATTGCAAAAATCATCTCAAAACCCTCAAATGAAGTCCCCCCTTCTACTCTTTCTCTTCATCTTCTTACATTGCCACTTCCAGATTTCATCCGGGGTTTCAAGTTTAAACCCTAATTTTCTAACGAACAATGAATTCGATCCAATGGTGAAAAGGGTTTGTAGTGGGACGATTGGCGGGTGTTCAGAAGATGACATGATGGAATCTGAGATCAGTAGGAGGATCTTGTTAATGGAGAAAAAGTACATAAGCTATGAGACTTTAAAGAGGGATCTTGTACCTTGTGGTACACCTGGAGCTTCGTACTACAATTGTAAGGGCAAAGGGGTCGCTAACCCTTATAATAGAGGCTGTGAAATCATCACAAGATGTGCTAGAGATGCTATAAACACATAATCTTGAGGGGTACAAATGGTAAAGTTTTAATCTTTCTTTTGGTTCTATTTGAGGGTATCCATGTTTCTTGGATTCTTGATTTATGTTGGTTTACTTTAACTTAGAGATCATTCATGTTGTTGTTACAATGTTACTTTCCTATAATCAAATGCAAGTTAATTTGGTTCTTAAGGTGTATGTATGTATGTACTGTTTTGTTACCCTAAAACGATGGTGGATAGGGGAGTAGGGGCACTTTTGTCATTTGGCATTACCTCACAGAATGATCCACTATCAAGATCTTTATGAGACATGATCACATGATTTATAATGTCAATTTTGGATTTTGAAGATTTGTGTTGTTTCCAAATAGAAGTGTTTTAAGAACCCTATTTGAATGTATCTTGGATTCTTGATTCTGGATTGATGATGGATTATCTAAACTCTGAAAAGGGTTTGAAGTTGTGGGACACCATGAGATTGTTTTCAAGAAAAAAGACTGAATCTTGATAGTAAAATCGTAATGAGGAAGACGAATCGGAAAAAAAAAAAAGATTTATTTACAAGATTGTAAATTATTCGAACCCGTATTTTAAAAATGGCAATAAGATTGGATTCGCTTAATGGGATGATTGTACCAATTCATTCAAACAAATACCTTAGGCTAATCATCATAATTTCAAAAAAATCACAATAAGGTATCATTTATGCATCAAGATTCAAGATTGATATCAACTATATATGGATTTATATACATAAATACACTTGACATCACATATGTTTATAGCATTCTATTTATCTAAAAATGGAAAAGAGTATAGTTTCAATATTAAAATATGTGACCACATATTTGGCAACTATGTAACAGATACTCCTATATATTTGAAAAAAAAATGTAAATACTTTCATCTTCATTACATTAGTAATTTTTCTATAAAATCTTTTTAAAATTATTTTAGAAGTAGAATAAATTATGCACGTTGATATACATAAAATTGTCGATATACAAAAATATTATATAATAAAATTAAAACTATCCACAAGAAAATCATTAAAAAAAAAAGAACCACATAGGTTAATTAAATTAAATTTTTGTAAAGAGAACCTATATATTATAGCTGCTTTTGTTGCCATTGCAAATTCCAAATATCTTTCTCCAAAAATTTCATTGACCAAGACATGAGCACAACAAACAAAAAAACATTGCAAGTGTTGATCTATCAATATACATAATATAGATTCAGTTTCATCTGAATAAGAAGAGATATATTTTCGTGATATCGTATTGGGGATAATGCAAAAAAGTGGCCATGTGATACAATATCATTTATGATCACATGAGGCTACAAAGTAGTAGAATTTCTGAAGTGGAGTAGAAGTCTGGTTCGAGGAGGATGCAGTTGGAAAGGTAACATTTGGTGATCCAAAAATGTCAAGATTATGTTTTTATATGACTTTATGCTTTGATGAAATGATGGATTAAACAGGTGGACCTCTTGACAAAGATAAAGAAGCATGTTACTTAAAGGTATAAACAATTTGTATAGACACGTCTTTTCTTAGAATGACAAAGAGTGACCCTCGATCCTTGTCCTTCTATCTGCTTCAATCTTTAGTCTCTTGATTATTCAACATGTGCATCTTCGGTCCGTCTACTTATGCACTTATTTAGTCATCAATAGCAACTCCAAGCCCAACTACAAGTCCAACATCTTTAAGCCCAATAGTGTATAACACGGAAAATTGTTATCCTCCCTCAAGCTCAACCTTGGAAGCGATCTAACATACTCAATTTCCACACAAGCAAGAATATTGCATTAAGAGATTTAGTGAAACAAATATGCAACTTAATTTACAACCCATAAGATTTCGCATGTGACAAAAGTCAAGGCTATATATTCAACATTTGATTTTCCAATATATTAAGGAATCGTCAAGAAACAGATAGAAGCCGATAAGTGATCTCCTAGTAATAATATTCGATAGTTATCTATTAAAATAAATCCAATATACTTTATAAATTATAATACAACATAATAGTAATAATATTCCATAGTTATCTATTAAAATAAATCCATTGTTCGTTAGGTTTCTAAACGACAAAGATAAATTAAATAACACTACTGGGACATCCAGCTTGTAACACCTGATTTTCATTTATCGGGGATTGATACTAAGGGTGTGTTTGGGATTCCTTTTTTAAGTTAAAAGTACTTTTGTAAAAAAGACTTTTTTTAAAAGAATTTTTTTTAAAAGGGAGTATTTAAAATGTATTTGGGTGGACTTTTAAAACTTTTAAGAGATAAAAGCCAAAAGTCACAAAAAGATGAGATTTTATGATTTAAAAAGACTCCTTTTTGGTCATGGCTAAAAGTTAATTTAAAATGACTTTTCTATTTTGCCAAACATCTTTTTGACTTTTTAACTTTTTGGAAAAGTTAAAAGTCTAAAAGTTGTTTTAAAAGGAAAGTCAAACACCCCCTAGATAACATGTAATTCTTGAACATGCACATGTTAAGGTTACTTTAATCGTAAATCACAAATATAGTACAAGTGGTTAATGCACTACCAAGGGTAAGGTACAACTCATATTTAAGAGCATGAGTAAAGTTCTTGAATATGAAAAGTTTATTAGAAATTGGTTAAATACTTGTGATTAGATTGAAATATCAAAAGTGTCAAATTATGGAATTTTTCATTTGGTTGTTATGAACTATATCATGAAGTAAATTAGTAACTAACACTCATCCAAATACCATGTTAAATACTTATATGACCAATGTGGTAATATGAAGAAATGATATGGAATTGTCATAAAAAGGATCACATGCTAAATGGACAGTAATATATAGGACTGTATTATAGATGGTGTTGAATTGTCGAATTATTGTTCATGAACGCTATAAGAGTCAAATAGGAAGAATAAGGAAAAAGGCAAACATAAGAGCAAAATGAGTTTTCATAGTTGGGTGACCCACTTAATAAGGTGAGTACATAGTGGTTTTCCCAAGTCGGACCACATGTCATAGTTGTTGAATGTTTATGAATGTTTGTCATTTATTGAAATGTTAAAAGCTATTTGATGTGAAGAATTTAGAATTTATTTAATCGTCATATGCGAATCATTGATAATGGACTATGGGTATGAAATCCCTAATAGAATATGATCATAAATTGAAATTATCTAGACATTTTGAGGCATTGCTAGGACGGAATCTCCTGCGAAGTAGTGGTCTGGTCGAATGGGTATGGGGGGTATAAAGTCCATGTATATTGGAATTAGAGGTATAAAGTCCTCGTATTAGTACTCCCCAATGTGTGTTCTAGTTACAACTTATTTTCCATTATCATTGTTTGTATATTGTGTTGATTTGGAACTTACAAATGTGGTACATTAGGATGTAGTTTTTGATGTGTTTTATAGATAGCAAATTTGTATAATGTGAAAAAAAATTAAAAATTAATAGGATACATGCATCATATAAAATATCTATGTCATACACCTTGATGGCAACGTACAATAAACATTAAACTAGCATAACCCTAGTGTAATTCGAAAATTATAAGTTTTTTAGAACCTTGGTTAAGTATATAATGATGTCCAAATAATCTTGATACCATGAGACTGAATAACTTTTTTACGAGGATATTTCAAAAAAAAAAATGCATAATATTTATCGATTATAACAATGACTAATATTATAAAAAAGAGAAATCTTAAGAAAAACATCATTGATTTGGAAACAATAATGATTAAGTCCCCAAAAAAATTTTGAATAGAAAAACCTAAGAAATTGTGGCATTCTCAAATTTTACGGACATTTAAAAAAAATTACGCTTATTCAATACAAAGTTTATTTATTAATGCAGAATATGGTCCCGTAAAAGTATTTCTGAGAAATGTTTCCATTGATTTATTAAGACCGGGAATATCATAACTAATAAACATATGCATAAACGAATACTTACAATGTCTCAATATACTAATGATCTACATCCCCTTGAATCTTTCAGCAGATATATACATCATTATCTAAGTATCTTTATTTAATTACCTGCGATTCAAATAAACTGAGTGGTTCAGGTTGGGAAACCCGGTGAGCACATAGGGTTTTCAACCCACAATATTATATTTTTTGTAACACCTAGTTTGGATGTTTCTTTTATCAGGATAGTGGGTCGTAAATGGATCGGGTAAAGGTTTTGGGCTTCAATGGAATAGATCTTAGACCCTATCGGATGATGACAATGTTTGGTTAAGTGTTTAAAGCCCTCGAATTGTGTTTCGAAGAAAAGGGTAATATGGAAAAAGTTATATATCGGGCTTCTTGCATGGATTATGGTTTTAGTTCGACATGTGTTAAGCCAAAGATAATTAGATAGTATTATGGGGCCCGTTAATATCTTTATGTGCATATAAAGAACGCCTAAAACGGAGTTGAAACGAAGAAGTTATGGTTGTTTGAAGTTGAATTGGAAGTTGGTGGTTTTGACCTACACAAGGCGTAGGAAAGTTACGCAAGGCGTAAGTTGCTGAATGTAGATTGGGTTTCTAATGGGATACGCACGGTGTAACTTAGGTTACGCAGGGCGTAATCGTGGCAGATCAAAACCCTAATTCTTCAGTTTTAAGCCCTATTTAAGGGCTCTAACTTCTGGGAAACCCTCTCATGACCAGACTCCATCACCTAAGATCATTCCTTGAAAAATCCTAGCCTTATCTTGCTTGTTTTGAGCCTTGGAGTCTTTTATGAGCTTATTTCTCCATTAGAATGTTTAATCTAGAAGAACAAGGTGTTTGTAAAGTGCATGAAAGAAGGATTCAAGTATAGATCCAATAAGGTTGCTTCATTTCTGGACCATTGTGAGTAAAAACTTCTATCTTGCTCATTGATTTCTTAGATCTTGTTATTGGTCGTTTTTGTCACTTTTTGGCCCTTTGAGCTTGTGTTTTGGGAGTTGAGGCAACTCCAACACCTTTTGAGTTATATGGAACACTCTTGGGACTTGTTGGACTTGGT